CCCGCCAGGACAAGAGAAAAGCCCAAGGGAACTGATGGACCCATGAACTGTTGAAATACAGGTCGAAGAAAGCAAAAGCAGAATCCGACCTCTCTCTCTCTCTCTCTCTCTCTCTCTCTCTCTCTCTCTCATGTCACTAGATACAGACCTGCAGAAAGGTGGTGCCTTGATGCAGGTACGGACGTGCTGAAAACGAAGCTGGAGCTATGGCGTCACAGGTAAGTCAGCAGGTAAGTCCCCTTGGCCTCCGCCTCATCCTCTACTCCTCTCCAACCCACTGCAATGTCCTGCAGCCCAAGCTCGAGGCTGATGTCGCCAACATGAACAGCGCCCAGCGCTGAAGTCTACTGCTACTGCGCCCAGCGCGTCGGCTACTGTACGTCCAACCTCGTGTCTCGAATGAGGCTATATATATATCGTATATATCGTCGTATATATATCTATATCGTCTGCTGGGCCTACTGCTGCCCGGCCAAGGAAGTGAGCCTCCGAACTGGAGCCAGGAACTGGCGCCCAAACTGGAGACCGGAGTCGAGACTGAAAACGAAGGGGAGTCTTGGCGCCCAAACTGGAAAGTGGCAAGACTGGCGGCCCAGAAGTGTGCCTGGGCTAACTGACGGCCACTGGGCCTGTATCTACCCTCATATGCAGTCGGATACATGCCGACTGGAGGGAAACGGAACAACTCTAGCTAATGGGACACTGCCGAGCCTCAAAAAAGGAGACTAACCGACGCCTGAGCTCTGGCTAACCCTCTCTACCCTACTACGGGGGCCCAAGAGACTGACTGTCGAAATAGCATTTACCCCACTAGCTCAGTCGGTACAAGACCGTTGGGCCCAAGGAACTGCTGTTGAAATATAGACCCAGGTTCGAATCCTGATGGAATCCTGATGGACCTCGATGTACCTAATGAAATAATTCTGAAAAAAAAAAAAAAAAAAAAAAGAGCCTAAAAAGGGTCAACTCGATGGTGATATCTCAAGATGGTCAGTCACCCTTTTTAGGCTTTTTTTTTTTTTTTTTTTTAAGTAGCCTAGTAGGGAAGAAAGAAATGGAAAAAAAGTTAAAAAAAAACAGAAAGAAAGAGAAGGGAAATCAAAATTACTAAATTAGGGTTTCTCACCCAAGAGCACGTCGACTCTCTATTTGGCAAGGGGTTGGCAGAAGAGCAATATACCTAAACACCTCTCTTCTATCATACTGATTTGACGCAGCGGGGAAGTGGCGGGCAGAGGAGGAGGAAAGCCTAAACACCTCCCTCTCCCTTACCGCTTGACAGAGTCGATATCTCTCTGTTCATTCACTGAAGTATCTCCTGAACTATCTGCTGTGAGCAGGCAAACAGGGGCCAAATGGAAACCAAAAAACGGAGAGAATTACGAACAGCACACAAACAACGCAAAATTATTAACAAGTCGGGCCCTAGACGACAGAAACCGAAACCAACAATGCCAGACACACACACGCACACACACGCACACACACACACACACACACACACACACACACACACACACACAAAACGCGCGCGAGGAGCGAGAGAAAGAGGGCAGAAATGGATACACAATGCTCAAGACATAAGCAGAAGCGATCAGCAACGCTTTTGGACAGTCGGTAGGGAACAGGGGGGCAATCGCTTTCCAGACTCACCGAGCGTGGATGAGTTTCACACTCGTAGGCAAGTGCGGTCTCCTGAAATTGTACGCAAATGAAGATGCTAGACCAACAGCCCAAAACGTTCCTGCAGAAGCGGGGCAATCACCATCATTCCTCCCACGTGTCAATGCATCACCCGTCTCATCACATAGTATATAATATAGTAGAGTAGAGTAGAGTGTAGTAGAGTGTAGTAGAGTAGAGTAAGTAGAGTGGTAGAATACAGTAAAGTAGAGTAGAGTATGATATATATATATATATCGTCACAAACAGAAATATATATATATATATATCGTCACAAACAGAACTGCCCGGTAAAACCGTAGGCAGATATATATATATATATATATCGTCAAATACAGCTGCCAACGGTAAACCGTAGGCAGAGAGAGAGGAGAGGACAACGAACGAAGGGCTGTGACAATATGACATGATATCCTGGTCTGGTCTGTATCGTATCATATATACTATACTTTACTATATAGTCTACTTTATAGTATAGAATACTACAGTATATAGTAGTTTATAGTATAGAATACTACAGTATATAGTATAGAATAGTATAGTACAGTACAGCACAGTACAGCACAGCACAGCACAGCACAGCACAGTACAGTACAGTACAGTACAGTACAGTACAGTACAGTCTAGTCTAGTGGTGTGGTGTGGTGTGGTGTGCAGAGTAGAGTAGAGTAGAGTAGAGGGAGTAGAGTGGAGCGGAGTGGAGTGGAGTGGAGCGGAGCGGAGCGGAGCAGTGCAGAGCAGAGCGGAGCGGAGCCGAGCAGAGCGGAGCAGAGCAGAGCAGAGCGGAGCAGAGCAGAGCAGAGCAGAGCAGAGCAGAGCAGAGCAGAGCAGAGCAGAGCAGAGCAGAGCAGAGTAGAGTGGAGTGGAGTGGAGTGGAGTGTATATGATATGATATAGAGTGTTCTAGACCAGAACAGGCATGACAAGGAAGGAACCAAGCAACACAGCCAGATCATGGAAGGTAGCCTCTGGCCATGGACCCTCACAGAACAGAGCAAAACAGGCAGATCACAAAAGTTGGCCTCTTGCCACCAACCGTCAAGATTTACGAACCGAAGGGTGGCCTCGGACAAAGCACACATTCTGAGGCCAACCTTCGGTTAGTAAACCTTGACGGTTGGTGGATAGATAAAAGAGTTCAAGCGTATGGATAGATAAATGGATCATAACATTAAACTAGAGAGAGAGAGAGAGAGAGAGAGAGAGAGAGAGAGAGAGAGAGAGAGAGAGAGAGAGAGAGAGAGAGAGAGAGA